TTATCATTATATATATATATATATATATCATTATTTGGTACATTTGTCAATTAATTATTAGTAAAAATTAACTATTAGCTCGGTATAGTCATATCCTTCAAATTAAACTTGTTTAGAAAAATGTTACAATTAAGAATTGGTTTAAAAAAAATAACACGTGTAGCCACAAACTTTCAATTTATTTTTTTGTGTTGACCCTCACAGAGAAAGAGTTAGTAACACCCCCTCTGAATGGATTAATTCTTCCTGGTGTGACCAGACAGAGCTTGTTAGATCTAGCCAAAACATGGGTGAGACCTTTTTCTTTCAAACATATTTGCCTAATTTTAGAATTGATTGCTTGGTGACATCAGAATAAATTGATTTTCTTCTGAAAGTCAATACATTCCATACAGACCTATTAGGTAGAAAAATTTCTTTCTTTCACAGTTAGTTATTAAAAAATTACTCAACAAAAGGAACAATTTATAGATATTAGAAAATTATTTTTCAATTTTGTTTTTAAAATGTATGTTTTGGACAAAAGTTACTTTTATTCTTTCTTTCCAAAATATGCCCATTTCCCATATTTAAATCTTGTTTTTCCTTTACAGAATGAGTTGAAGGTGTCGGAAAGAGTGATAACCATGAAAGAAGTACTAGATGCTCTAAAGGAAAATCGGGTAAAAAAATACACAATATTTTATAATTTTACTACAGTATCTTGTTTTTCATGTGGATAACGATCATAAATCCAATAATTATTGGTGCATGTATCAGGTTGTATCCAAGCAGAAATTATGGGATCACTTTAAAGTTTTGATTCCAAACTCTTAGTTAAATATTCTGTCTCAATCATTTTGATTTTAGCCATATAAAGTAAATCATGTTTAATCTGTAGTATACAGTGACAAGTAAGTGCATTTGTCTGTGTGATATATAAAATAGAAACAAAGTTGTGGTATGATATCTAATTTTCTTCAAAGAGTCTTCATGAATTATTGTAACAGACTAACATAATTTGAACTGTATTTTCAAATTGTACTTGCTATTACTGTTGTCTGCAACTTTAATTTTACCTACAGATTATTGTTATGTTGTTTGTATGTGCTATGTGGAAAGTTTCATATTTAGCTCTTTGGGAGATACACATGAATAGTGACTCATCCTGAAACTGTTTTCCAGTAGTATAAAGCTTTGAATAAAGTTGTAATTCATGCAGGAGCTTTTTGGTTTGTTGGGGTGACATAATATATATATTGTTCTGGTGGGTGAGCTGTTGGATATGTCTTTGTCTTATTTATCTACTAAAAGTGTCTTCATTAGCCAAGGTGTCCAATTTTTGTAGTGGGTTAGCATTAGACTGTTTTTTCAGTTTAGTTCAAATAAAAAAAACATTACTTTTGATAAATTATTTTGATGCTATACCATGAAACGCATAAGTAAAACTATGTTACTTGGACACATTAATTAATATTATTATTATTAGTGTTTAAAAATGTATATACAAAATTACTTTGTGAGAAACATTGATTCTTAGTTCTGAAAAAGTATGCAAGTTTCTCATTACATTGAAGCATATGTGAAATAATAACATGAAATAAACTTCAGTTTAATAGATAATGTATTTTACATGGTTAAATATCCCTCTATCTTTTATAGCTACTAGAGATTTTTGGAAGTGGCACAGCATGTATAGTGTGCCCTGTGAACCGTATACATTACATGGGACATGATTATCACATCCCTACCATGGAACATGTTCAACCATTGAACCTGAGATTTCTCAAAACACTAACTGATATTCAGGTATTTATAGTAATTTAATCTCATTTGTTAAGACATTGATGGAAATAGGGATAAGTTCAACTATTAAACATGATGTTACCAAACACCCTGGATAGCGAGTAATTTAATCACTGAACTTAAATATTGACAACAGCTTAAATCCATAATAAGCATTATTCATCACCAACCTAAGATTTCTTAAAATTGACAGAAGCCCAGATCAGCTCAGTCACTGAACTTTGAGTTGTTCATGACATAGAGGAATTTACACAGTAGTATATAACTTGACCTTTCCATGTACAGTATATTAAATTTTTGCATCTAGGTTTGGTGTAATTTAATTTAGTTTATAAGCTAGGTGAGCATACCGTTTTAATTTTGATTTTTAACATTTCAGTATTTTATAAAATAGTGTGACCTCTAATAGCTTCCCAGTTGTTAATTTCTAATTATTTTTCCATTTAATTATAATTTTCCAAATTGGCTTTCAATTCCATTTGACTATTTTAATTAGTGTGGCATTATATCTGTTTGCATCTTATTTTTCTGCTTTTGTCTTATTAATGTTTCATAGAGTAGAACATTTTTAACTTCATTGATTAATTTACCTTGACAAGCACTGCTTTTTTTTTTTTGAAAGCTTATAAATTCACATTAATGTTTATACTGTTGATGAAGAAAATTCTCTTCATGAGAGCTCAAACTCTTGGGTTTTGTATTTCAAGTGGTAGTTACATGTTAGGTTTAATGTAATAATAGTATATTATAATGATGTGTGTAGTTTAAATTTGGATAAAATACAGTATATATTTTTTTTTCTTTGTCAATCAGTATGGTAGGATACCACATAAATGGGCAGAGGAGATTGAAGATGTACCTGGGATTCATTTGGAGTCTGTGGAAGAAAGGGTTTAGTTATGTCTCTCTCTCTCTCTCTCTTCGTGCTGTGATACCTGTATAGAAAAGAATAGCTAGTTTTTAGCTACAAGTTCTTTTAAACTTGCATTTTAAATTTCCTTAGAGTATTCCTTGAATATTTACTAGAGTATGACTGGCCCTTTTTGCCACTATTGTTAAGTAAATTTTCAAGGTTCTCTTGGTTAATGATCCAACCAGACAGCCAGTGGGGAACATGTACACAGAAAGCCAGTGACATGCTGTGGAACTCTTGTGTAAATTATTAATGAGCACATCTTTTAATCTTCCAATTTTTCTTTTCAAATCCTTTAAGTGGAATCTAATAGTGGAATTATCTAAACTTTAGAATGAATTCTAAAATCAGTTGTTGCTTTGCAATTGTTTCAGACAGAGAAAGCACTTTATTTACATTTAACTTCTAGTTGATTGTTTTGTTAGTCTTTTAAAAATCCAGTTTTTTGCATTTTGTCTATTGTAATCCACCCTTAGAAGGTGTAAAACTAACATATACCTCATCACAGTAACTATACATGTAAAGGAACATTGTTCTTACATGAATACTGATAAAGTTCAATTTTTATCAATTATTTAGAAAAACAAAATTGGCAAGCCTCCTTTCAAATTATTGGATGCACTGCAACACTATTTGATACAAAATGTGTATTTACTGAAGTATTCTATTCGGTGTCTCTTAATTAAAATCTAGTAAATTTTACGTGAAATAAAACTGATTTAGTTGTGTAGGATAAAAAAAATGTATTTGTTATTTTTTGTAAAATGAGTGATAGTTTGATGTGATAGGTACTAATTTTATTATTTTCTGTTAATCAGCTTTTGTGTTCAGTTATTAAACAAATAATTTAGTGGTTGTGATACATAATCTATTAAAATACATATCATTTTGTAATTATTTAATGTGTTTACAGTAGTAATTGTATAGCATAAATATTTTGTGGTAAGATGTCTTTGATTAAACTGCTTTGTTATGCTTGACCTAATGAGCATCTTCCATTTCTATCAACAAAGCTTCCTTTCAAAACCACTTTAAAGATTTTCATTTTTTAAAAAGACAGACTTAAATAAAACATTTTTTCAAACAAGAACAAGAGTACAAACCATATTTAAGGGAACCACAGGAGTTATTTTAAATTACAAATATACAAGACTTAATTAAACAGATACCAGACTTAGAAGTATACTGCACTTAACCTAGGTTAGACTTGCAAGTTAATGTTATATGAGAATTGGTTATAGAAGAATATGCAAGTCACTAATAAATATTTCCTGAATTGAATAGTCAGTAACAGTATAAAGATATTTCCCAAATAATATGATTTCGCCTTTGAATAAAATATATTAAATTAGATAACAAGAGTGTTCAAAGTTGTGAGAACATATAACTAACCTGAAAGCACCATTAGCTGTTTCCAGAATTTGTATAAACAAAAAGCAACTATATAGTTGGTAGTTTTATACCTTAGCATTTTATTTAAATAGGATTTGAAAAACATCAAAACTCAACGTTCATAGCTATGAAAATTTCTAAAAAGTATGCATAAATCTTGTTATTTATGTAAAGTATATTAATTAATGATGCTAATATAGCTATAAAATAAAGATCCAGAAGAACTGAATGTTTAATTCAAGGATAATTTGCTTTGTCAAAATAGAATATACTAGTTTTCCACCACAGAAATAATATTTATTCATAAACACTTATTGTTAAGTCTAAATAGATAAATACTTTAATCTTTTGTTCAGTTGCTGATTAAATATTTTATTAAAAACAAAATACAGCTGGTATAAATAAATTTCTTAGAGGAAATACATGATAAAATAATGGTTGTTACTGTCTTGAAGAACAATGATTGCAGCACATTAATTTACAGTACAGACATTTTGAGACTTCTTTTAAAGCTGCAGCCATTTAAATAATATATATATACATACACACACACACTCACACATTGAATATTTAAATAAAGGACTGAAGTCATTTTATTTTTGAGTAGCTAGTGATATTTAAGCAACTGGTTTTTACAGGTATTATTTGGTTGCTGTTTACTTCACATCTTTGCCAAGTTTTTTTTAAGATTAGGAAACATTTAGAAAGTTTAGATTAGTCAGTATATATATTTGTTTTTAAAGAATTGTTTTGGTGAATGGTAAATAAATGTTTAATTTTTAATACCTTGGATTTAAATGAGGCAGTTGGAAGGATAGTAATGATATTTTATTAATTTTTTGTTAAATGTTAATTTGTTTCTTCCGTAAGCTCAGATACATTGCTCAATTTTTCATTTGAACCATTTTTTCTTTCAAGATTTTAGCAGAAAAGTTTGATAAATTCTTTAAAATTCTATAAATTGTAAATGTGATCTGATACACATAATTAAATAATGTAACTTTAATCTGCCTTGAAATATAAAAAAAATTATTACACATTTGACGTTTTTTTCTCTTGATATATTTTGGTGTTATGTATGTGTTTTGTAATTAGTATTATAGGAAGTGGTCATTGCTTCAGGGTTTTTTGAAATAATAAACAGCACTTTATACTTCAATGGCTGCATTGTTTCAAACATAGAGATAGAAAATGCAGGTTATCTCTTTACAAACAAGATTAATACCAATCTCAAATTACTTAATGATATGACATGATTTTCTTCCTCATCTATATTTCTTTTTTGTTGATTCATTTCATAATTCATAAAAACAAGCAAACAAAAATTGGCTGTGCACCAAATTGCCTATCCGTTGTCAATCAGTTTTGTTCCACTTAAGTCATAGTATAACAGTGAATTTTTTTTTTTTTAAAGCCACTGTAACTATCCAGTTTCTGACCATAGTCAAGCATACTGAAATACATTTTGTTATATCTATTCTGAATGATTGCGTAATAATAGCTAATAAGATACAAATATATATGTTTGATTTACAAATGTGTGTCTGAGCTTCCAACATGTTGACCAGGTGAATTATACATTGTGATTTTCTTATTGAGGCTAGAGTCTCATAACACAGAATCCATAGTTGTGCATAGATGTCTATTTTATTTATTTATTCATACACTAACATTTGCAGATAGATATAAACAAATTATAAGGCACATTTTCTTAATCATGAAATGAAAACAGTACATTAGGATTTAAAAATGGAACTGAGTGCTCTGGCAGTTACTGATAGTAGTAAATGTGATTATATAAAGTTACTATACTTTTCTTATATTAACTACTGATACCAGTAAATTTCTGTAATTCTTCTTTTGTCATTATAAACACTAGTAATTGTGGAAATTACTAAAGTATCTTTTACAAGCTTATTAACCACAGGTATCAGTTACACCAAATTTTAATTAACACATTTTTAAGACTTATAATTTTTACCTAAATGTTTCTGGAATTACTCTAAGTACTCTGGTACTTTTTTTTGTATAGTGATAATAATAGTAGTTGGGATACTAACTAATCATTCTGTAAATGTCACAGTTTACATTTTACTCGTAAGTAGAAACCTACTCTCTCATAAGAGTATGTAGGACTTCTACAACTTTATACACAAAGCCATGGCTTAAGAGTTATAGAATTAACAAACGCAAAGTAAATTAAAAATGTTATCTTATTTGTTTCATTTTTATATTCATTTGGTCATAATTAAATAATCCTGAGATATTTTCAGAAAAGTACAGGTTAGGTATATCAATATTCAAACTGTAGAAATATTAAACTTCCATGAGGATCAACACCACTACACCATAATACAGTATTCTAAATTTATGAGTACAGCTTCTAAAATGAAAGATTTTTAGGACAAGCATAATCAAAAATTTTGGGAGTTGAAAACTTCTCTGGGAATATAGAAATGGCATTCTTCTATAATTAAAGAACAACTAGCATTCAACAAAAACTTCCAAATGATTTATTAGAAGCATTAGTACTATTATTACTACATCACAAATATCAGTTACACAACACTGTATCTTAAACATGAGAAATAAGAAATATCTGAAATGTAGTGGATTCACAATCACATCCACCTTTGTCATCATTACTTAAAATCTAATTTGAAGTGTAATCAACATCAATATGAAAAGTCTGCATTCATTTTAAGCAGTAGAATGTAATGAATACAATAATACTACAAACAGTCCAATAAAGCTATAGTTCGAAACCAAGTATTTCATTCTATAGTCACCTACAGTTTTGTAAAAATTCATACAGGTCACTTCAGTTCTGCTTTAAGATGTTCCATTCGTTAAAACCTACAAAAGACAATGAATTTTCAAACTTTCACCAACATCAATTAAAATTGTTAAAACAATGCAATGTAAAGTTGAGAATACAGTGATATTCTATACAACCCACCAGATGAGCATAAATAGATCCTTATAATAATAATAATAATAATAAAAAAAAGAACATGCCTAATTCTGATCTTCATTAACAGTAAACTTTCATAAACATAAGTGAGATAGTTAAATAGTGCTAATGGCAAAGCTTTTCCTAAAAATCTTCCCTAGACAGTAGCATTCTGGAGGATATAGAGATGTGTCTAACACTCAATGAGCCACCCTCATTACTGATTTGTTCAGAGAGTACTAACCATGCTTTTTACTTAAAACAAGAAAATAAAAACTATGGTATTTTCAGGCAAACCTGCTAATAACAGCAAATTCAATCAAAAAAATAGTGTTCTGTAATTAGTATCTTGATGGGATTTTAAGTTGCATGAGGGAAAAGAAATGGACACATTTAAATGATAGCACAAACAGTGTGTACTTATGTAGCAAATAGACGATTACCTCTACGGGTGAATAATTGCCAGTTTTCAGTTTACCAAAATGAATTTCTGCCAGAATAGTCACAATGAAAGCCAAGTAGAACTGAACAAAAATAGTATGCCTGGATTTTGAACATTACCTTGCTTTCTTAGTCCAGTTGACAGTATGACCTCCGTTCCCTGACAATATTATACAGTTTTAACTAACATCATAGTTCAGTCAACAAAAGATATTCTAGCTTTGACTAGTTCAACCCAAGTTCACAATATACTATCCCTGTGGCAGATGTCATGTAGCAAAAGAATAAAGGGCTGAAGTTACTAGAACAACATAATGTTGGGCATGTTGCCACCATTACAATGTGGAAACTAAATAATTTGGAATAATTCTAAGTTGCTATAGAAGGTAGGAGAACATGGTATGCCTGCATACCACAATACTACCCATAACATCTAAAGGATGCTGAAATATGCATGATACCCAACAAACTGTCCACATCACTAACTTTTTCACGTATGTTCTAAAATACACATTATTCACAAAAGTTATCAGCAACATTTTGGAGGATATTATAATTTGTCCAATACTCAACAATCCACCCAAATCATTTCATATGCATGTTATTCATAAAAAAAAAAATATATATATATATATATATACCACTAGTAACATTCTAGGATGTATTATAACATGCCTCACAGTATGTTGTTCTCATTACTATACACAGGAATATAAACTTTTTTATTCAAAATATTAATACTTCTAACAAGATTACGGAGAATATTCAAGTATGCCTGACATTTAATAAGCTCTCCCATCAATGATTTCTCCAAAGGGTCTTAAAATATGCTTTTTATTCAAAAGAGCTGGTTGGACTAAAGAATCTTGAAATGTGGATAAATACCCAACAAACCATCTGACTTTCTCCTAGTTTACTAAATTATGCCTTTCATTATAAAAAGCTGAAACTGTTGGAGGATACCAAAAGTACACGACTTTCTCGGAGTTCTGAAATATTGCTCTTAATCAAAAGACTGGTAACATTCTGGAGTATAGCATATAAAATGTGTCTGACACTGATCTAACCATCTCTATTACTAACATTTTATTTATAAAGCTGATACAATATCAGCAACATTATAGAGGTTGTTGAAATGAGCTTGACACTTGACAAGGTATCACCATCAGTGACTTCTTCCAAAAAGATATAAAATATGCTAAATATTTGCAAAGTTGATACTACATGTACCATTCTGGAGGATATTCAAACACTTCTAACATTTGGCAATTACAAGTTCTAGAGTTAAAAAAAATAGAACAACCAGCTTCTACATACTGTTGCAACCTCTCTGTTTAGAAGAAATAATGTTTTGAACAAGATGCCACAAATAGTACATGAATCTTTCTGGAATTTGACAAAATTTCAACAAACTGACTTTTAAAAGGTACTTAATTATATCAGTTTCAAAAAAATTAACTATTGAGACATTAGGGAAAAGTAAATTTTCTTGACATTCAGAAAGGTATCATAATTATAGATTTTTTAAAATATATTTCAGTATTACTGATGATCAGCAACTTATCACAAGTACTGACTTTCAGTATAGTCAGGACAGTATTTGACTGTTTCTAGATTATCAAAAGTTCATACAAGCTGCAATATAGAACAATTTTGGAAGACATTCAAATTAGCCCGAGATAAATAATCTGTCACAACTAGAGCTGGGCAATTTATTTAATTACCTTTGAGCAGTAATTACATTGACTAGTAATACATAAACTAATTGATTAATGGAAATTATGATTAAGTGATTTATGTAATGAAAATAATCAACTAATTGAAAATAATATTTACAATTATTAGTTTTCAACTATTCTAATAATTAATTAACCATAACTGTTACTAAAATAATCAACTAACTGAAAATAATATTTACAATTATTAGTTTTCAACTATTCTAATAATTAATTAACCATAACTGTTACTAAAATAATCAACTAACTGAAATTAATTGTTCTGATTATTACTATTTTTTTTATTCTTCCAATTATTCAAGTAACTGAAATGTTACCATTATGTCAAGTCCTTTACTCACCAATAATATCCTAAAATACTTTAGGTATTTTGATAACATTGACATACCATCAAAATAAATTATCCATTATTATTTAACATACTGTTTATTTATTTGCGAATTTTTTTCTCACCAAAACGTCAATTTCTTTGAAAAAAAAAATGACTAGAAGCCTGTTGATTTGAAGGTCATTGGTTCAATTTCCACTAATCTTCCTCACCCTGTCTTTGTTATTGAATGGCTACTAAGACTATCTGCCACTGTCACTAATTTTGAACTGCTGACTAGAGGAAAGACAACTAGTTGGCAGTACCCACCACCAACTCTCTGACTACTTGTGTTAAATAAAGTGTAAGTTTTTATTGTCTTTTTAAAATCATGTTACTTATAATTGGGTAACTGTATTATTTAATGTTCTATAAAAAGGTGTAGATCTACAGGAAGGGGGGGGGGGTCTTCACCTCCCTTCCAGTTTTTTTCAGAAATTAATACCTATTCTTTAATATTGTATAGGCATTTGTAGATCTAGGGAAGAGTTCAAGGGGATCCGACTCCTCTATTTCGTTATAAGTAGGAACAAATCTAGGGGTGGCCCAAAACTTCCCTTTTTTTTCAGAAATTAATAAAAACATCCTTACACTACCCTGTTATTTTGAATCAAAACCACTTTCCTGACAAATATCAGACAGGCAAACCAACAAATAACAGAAAATTCAATCAAGAAGTAATAGCAGTATTCTATAGTTGATAACTGGACTGAATTTTATGTTGTGTGAGATATAAACAGGTTGAATACATTAAAATGACAGTGAAAACAATTTTTATTTAGACACAACATAAAGAAACAGTACGCATACCTGCAAAAATAATTAATTAATCACCTCTACTGGATCAGTGAATATATCGACAGGATTCTGTATCTCAAGATGAATTTGTGCAAAACTAGTTATGATGAAATGCAAGTAGAAATGAAGAAAAAACATGTCTGGATCCATAATGTTAACATGCTTTCTTTGTACAGTATACAGCATCACCTTGTGACCTTTAGTTTCTGACAGCATTAGTTGGCTATCAGCTTCTTTCAACATCACAATCTGCCAGCAAAGGATATTTCAGCACTAACTAGTTCAACCTTGATACTACATACAAAGTTGAAATATCAAAGCAGGCAGAAACGATGTAATCTACTAGAAAACAAGCAGCTAAAACAAGATAACGTTAGTAACTCTGGACCATTTTTTACCACCATGATAGAACAGAAACTAAATAATTAATAATTTGGAATAATTCTATATTACTATAGAAGTTAGGAAACCAATGATAAGTGATATGGGCACATAAAAAATAAAATGGAACCACAAATCATGACAGAAAGATATACATTGTCCAACTCTCAAATTAAAAACTAAAAAAAGAATGAAAATATTTATTATACAAAAGTAAATGATGAATGAATAACAAAAAACACCTACACTGACTTTGAGTCCTTCCCAAGAGTATCGAGGTGTTGCTCTCACTAACCATAACACTGTCAGCAAACTCTCTAGGGCCACTTCCATTTTATTGAAGTCTTACTGAGTCCTCTTTACAGTTCTCTGTATGTCAGTTAATCAGGACCTCCTCCTCACACCATATTGGAAAATTATTATCTGCTTAATTCAATCTTCTTTTCTATCATATAGGACCAATGCTTCAGTACATTCCATGGCAATTTAATGACAGAGCCTTTTTAGCATCAGGATCTGATATAACATCAGGCAGTATTCGATTACCTTTGGCAGCGTCTTCAAGAGCTCTACTCTCGTTACTTCTCAGGGAAGGGTCCTGTCATGTCTTAGCAGGATGACTCTTGCTCTCAAGGCAGTGCATGTTCATCCAGGGTGCCCAATGTTTAATGCTTCATCTTTTGATGTAGACATTTCTTTGTTGATCACTATGATGTGAAGTCTCCTTTCTCACACTGACCATAGATCCTATTTTACCCTGGTCTTCTCACGGCCTTGGCTCTCTTCGAGATACACCTAGCTCTGAAGAGGTTTTCTTGAGTTTAGAGACATGGTGCTCCCTTCAAAAATGCAAATACATCTGGCAATGTCTCCTGGTAGTGGTGGTGCATCGTTTGAATGATTAGTCTGGCATTTTAGTGTTTAGTTAAATTTAGTGGACAGGATGGCCTAGATGAACTAAAAGGTCCATTGTTGTCCCCTTAATGCTATATTACATTGATGGGAACCATCACTGGTCCTCTGCTTCTCTAGGCCTTTTTCTCTGCCTTTACCTGTGCCAACATTGATGGCACCAATGAAGCCTGGTGGGCAGTCAGGAGACTGGTCTCCTTTACTATGGTATTTGTCCTAGCTGCAGCCTGTGACTCCTTCACTGAATTGGTAGTCCTCAGTCTATCAA